TGTGTGTGTGTGTGTGTGGCCAGCTCAGCCCACCAGGAGGCGGCGCTGGCTGGCATGTGGTGCTGGGGGATTGAACCGAGGTCCCTGTGCTTTGATAAGCTTGTTCTAAGTAGGTGCTTTAGACCACTGAGCCATCTCACCAGCCCCATGAGACAGGGTTTTGCCAGGTTGTCCTGGTGAGACTCTAACTTGAAATCTTCCTACCTCAACCTCCCTCAGTGCTGGGATTACAGGCATGCACCAACAGGCTTGCATAATACCTACATTATTTTCTAAATTACTATAGAAAAATAGTAATAAAAAAAAGAAATCTATCACTGTTTCTTTGAAAAGTTTATAATTAATTCCTAAATCTTGTTTAGCTCCATAGTTATAAGTTCTCTAGACATCATGGGAACACATCTAAGATAAATATTTGTACACTCCTAATAGCAGCACTTATTTGTAGAAAAACCTAGCTGTCATGCATCCTGCTTCTGGCCATACCCTCTCTACCACGAGAACTGCCCTCCAATAAGAGGCAACACAGGATGGCTTCCTGCTAGGAGTCTGATCCTGCCCCCTCTGGGTGTAGGGCTTCACAACAAGGTCAGAGGACATCAAACCTGAGTCTGGTGGGCTCACCTGTAGCTGGAGACGCAAAGCCCTGTGCTTCACAGCTGTGGCATACAAAACATGGTTCATGCGGGCCTGTCCTAGTTGCTGCCTCCACTTGCTCCACCACACCCTGAAAGAGCAAATCAGAGATGGAACAGGTCAGAAAAAAAGCTACCTTGCAAAGAGCAGTTAGGGCTGTGTCTCAGACTCTCAGCTCAAGTCCTCTCCCTGGCAGTGCCATTTGTGGACTAAATGTATTAGCTTCACCACTGAGAAAACATGAAGAAGCAGTCCTAGAATTGATGATGAAGGAATGGATACTGATAATTTCTAACCTCAGATCTAACCCTAGGCAATATAAATGCATTCTGGTGTACAGTTTATTTTTCTAAAATTATGAGTTATAGGAGAGCTTGGGTGTTAGCTCAGTTGTTTAAGTGCCTGCTCAGGCAAACCCAGTCAAGGCACAGGAGACCGCAGTTTGATCTCCAGCTCCACGAGTCTTACCAGACCTGTCTTTAAGGCAGCCTGAGCCAGCCAAAAATAAATAAATAGGGGCTGGGGAGATGGCTCAGTGGAATAACCACTTCCCAGTCAAATGCAAGGGCCTGAGTTTAATCCCCAGTTCAGCCAAAAAAAATAAAAATAAAAAATAATAATAAACAAATAAATAAATGAAATTATGAGTCATACCCAACACTTAAAAATTAAGAGGGATATAACTAAGCAGCACAGCACCTGCCTGGCAAGCACAACATCCTGAGTTGATTCCTGATAGCAAAAAAGAAAAAAGAAAAAAAATCAGGAGACAGGCTGGGTATGGTGGTATATGTTTGTAATCCCAGCACTTGGGAAGCTGAGACAGAAAGACTGCCTTGAGTTTGAGGTCAGTCTGAACTGATTTCAAGGCCAGCCTGAACTATATAGGGAGACGCTGTCTCAAAAACCAAAAGATAGGGTTGGGGATATAGCTCACCAGCATAAGTGCCTAACAAGCACAAGGTCCCAAGTTCAATACCTGGTACTGCAAAAAAAGAAATAAATAAGGAGATTTTACTGAATACTCGGGGGAAAATCTAAAATCTGGGAATTTTAGATTTCCAGTCTTGCTGGATCCTTTCTCTTCCTACTGTCCTCGACAGGTTTTCATTTCAGTCTTTATTTCTTTTCTACTTATTTCCTACTTTGCTGTAGGGAAAGAAAATAAGAGGATCTAACCTCTGCCACATAAAAACATCTTGCTTGACTTGGTCACTCTTCTCACAGACTCCTCCCTTCACCCTAGTAGAGAGCATGCTTACTTGTATCCCTCACTTCAAAATCTTCAGCTATCTTTCATGATCACTTTTCCTTTTACACACTTAAGGAATTATAAGTTCTCAGCCAATGGCTATACACTGAGTAAGTTATATAAATATATCTCCCACAGAAGCAAGTAGAACTGCATATTAATTAAGCATTTTCAACTGCTGAATATATAGATTTTATTTAAGGAACTTCACATTCACTTATGTTCTCATCACTACTTTACATACATTACCTTACTTATTCCCAGTGACAATTCTCAAAAATAGTTAACACTGCCTATTTGACAGATGACTTTGAGAGGTTAATACTCCAGCAGTTCATGTTTCTGCAAAGCCAGATATGCTTTATTCAGTGTCCAGGTGTCTAGATCACAGAGGAGGTTTTTTGTTGTTGTTGTTGTTGTGTTGTGTATTTTTTTGTTTTGTTTTTTGTTTTTAGTCTTTTGTAGTACTGGGGATTTAACCTAGGGCCTTCACACTGAGCTACACCCCCAACCTGCCTTTCTTTCTTTCTTTTTTTCTTTCTTTCCTTTCCTTCCTTCATTTACAGACAGGATCTTGGTAAACTGCCTATCCTGAGCTGAAAATTGCAATCCTGCCTCAACCTCACAAAGTGCTGAAATTATAGGCACATGTAAGGGCCAGGGAGATGGCTCAATAGAATAAGCACTTCCCTGGCAAGTGCAAGAGCCTGAGTTCAATCCCCGGTTCCATTAAAAAAAAAAAAAAAAAAAAAAAAAAAAAAAAAAAAGCACATGTGACTATGGCAGGCAGGAACTGAGTTTCCACTGCACTGCTATTTGGGACCCAGAGAATGACTAGAGAAATGGACAGGAGAGTCAATGGACAGAAGAGTCAGTCCAGTATAAAGCAATTAATTGTTACAGATCTATCTTTAAAAGTAGGGGGGGCCTGCCCCTTAGCTCAGTTCTTTAAGTGGCTGCTTCAACAAAGCAGTCAGGCTCAGGTTGCTGTGGTTCGATCCCCACAACACAAGCCAGCCTGTCATGCCTTGAAGGCATTCGGAGCAAAAAAAACCCAAAAAACAAAAACACTATCTTTAAAAGTAGGTAACTCCTTGGGGCCGGGGAGATGGCTCAGTAGGATAAGCGCTTGATTGGCAAACGCAAGGATCTGAGTTCAATCCCCGGTTCCACAAAAAAAAAAAAAAAAAGTAGGTAACTCCAACATGTCCACAATGCTGATGAGATGCAAGTACAGACCAGCAGTTAAGAGAAAGGCTGGGAGAGCCCCAGTTTGCCAATTACAACTTTTCTGAGCTCAATTACTCAACCTTTCTGAACCTTACTGTATATCTTAATCTGTGTAATTGTCCTTGAAGGTTTTTTGTTTTTTTGTTTTTTGCTTTTGGTGGCTGGCTCAGCCTGCCCTGGGGGCAGGGCTGGCACAGCATGTGATACAGGGGGAAATCAAACAGGGGTCCCTGCGCTTGCCTAAGCAGACACTTCGGTCTGCTGAGCTATCTCGCCAGCCCATAATTGTCTTTGAAGTCTATGGTAAGCATCAAATGAGATATTTCACATTAAAAAATTAATAAATCTAAACTTACAGGGTTTAGAACATGGTAAGTACTCAAGTAGTATTAATTATGATTGTATGAAAGTTTGAATTTACAGCTGAATACATTTGTAATAAGTACAGTATTAGGAATCAACTGTTCAAAACATTGTCCTCCCCTGCCCCCTCATGGCAGTTAGGGGAACGTCTTCAGGTTAGGAAAATATGGGCAGCTAAATTAGGTAAATTACAGGCAGTCAGATAGGGCTGGGCCCTCAAGGGAGTCAGTGAAAAAAAAAACACATCAAAACTGGACTTTCCTAAGAGATTAAACAGAAGCTTGGAATTTCCCACATAAATAAAATATTATCTCAGTAAAAGTGAGCCATCCTCTGTTGGTTTGTATATAGGTGTCCCCCCCAAAGCCTCATGCAGTCATGGGGTGGCTTCTGGAGTTTGTAATTATTGTGGGTGTGGGTGCTGCACTTAGCCCAGGGCAGGTAATTTACATTATAATGTAAGGAGGGGGAGAGAGGCTAGCTAGCCACCTGAGCTGCTGCCACTCACTTCGCTACTGCTCTGAGCTACCATGGATGGCTGCGCTGTGCCCTGTGCCACTCAGCTGTGAAGCCAGCTGAATATGAACTGAAACTTCAACTGCGAATTAAATAAACTTTTCCTTTCTTCATTTTGGATGTCAGATATTTGTCCCAGCAACAAGAGAAGAGTAACTGAGACACTCTCCTACCAAGACTACAGATTATCAAAAAGGTTGATGTCATCCATATGACCTTGCTACTTACTATAGGACCAATACTAGCTAAGTGACTACACTTGTAATCTTATTGGTTGATTATAATTTGACCCGCATTGTATCCATCCCTTCTGATTTTGCTCTATAAAACTGTCCCAGAGAGGTAGCCATGTTGGCAATCCACTTTCAGGTCCCCTCCTGTCTCTCAGGAGCTTTCCTACTCTTTTTTTTTTTTTTATCTTTTATTTATTTATTTATTTATTTGGTACAGGGTCTTACTATGCAGCTCAGACCTGTAGTGATACTCCTGTCTCAGCCTCCCCAGTGCTAGGATTATAGGTGTGCACCACTAAACCCAGTTTCTGTGGCCTGCTCAACGTGGGGCCAGAGTGGGAACCCTGGTCCTTGTGCTTACCAGGCAGGTGCTTAGACCAGTGAGCTATCTCCCCAGCTCCAATTTTCCTAGTGTTAAAAAAAAATTTGCCAGGCATGGTGGCACATGCCTGTAATCCCAGCACTCAGGGGGCTGAGGCTGGAGGACTGTTGCAAATTTGAGACCAGCCTGGGCTACAAAGTAAATTCAAGGCCAGCTTGAATTCTCAAACAACAACAACAACAAAGTGTTGTTTTAAGATGGGTTAAAGCGGGGCTGGTGAGATGGCTCAGTGGTCTAAAGCACCTACTTGGAACAAGCTTAGCAAAGCACAGGGACTGCGGTTCGATCCCCCAGCACCACATGCCAGCCAGCCCCGCCCCCTGGTGGGCTGAGCTGGCCACACACACACACGCGCGCGCACACACACACACATGCACACACACACATGCACACACACACATGCACACACACACATGCACACACACACATGCACACACACACACATAAATAAATAAAAAATTAAAAAAATAAAAATAAAAAAATAAAAAAAAAAGATGGGTTAAAGCAAGGTAAATGATGTCTGCTGATCTGCAAGGCAACTGAGCACACTTACCATGAGATCCTCTGCTGTCTGAACTCCAGAGCAGTGGTCTGCATCTGAAGTTTGGTCCTACGAACAGCCACGTAGATCAACCATGACTTCCAGGCCTGCTGCATCTTTTGCTTTACATCTAGATACATCAAAGAGGTGTTTTCTTTAAAGGTGGGGAGTATGAAGTAAAAGCTCAAGAGCTTTCATCCTATCTTTGAATAACCAAACCCGTCCAGTCTTCAAGTGCCCCTGTTGGTAAAATTGTGAAGTGCTACAAAATTAATAAAGATATAAGTATACAAGTGAAGATTTGATAACATTTATAAAGCATGTACCAGACTACTAAGAAATTCTACTATGAAAATCAATTATCTTTTTTTTGTGTGTGTGGAACCGGGGATTAAACTCAGGCCTTTGTGCTTGTCAGGGAAGCACTTATTCTACCGCGCCATCTCCCTGGCCCCTTAAAAATCAATTATCTTTAATAAACATTCTGCATTATTTACAGAAGTAATGATGTGAACAAATACGCAGCAGAGGAGTAGAGACAAGGATGAGACAAGACTGGCAGGAACTGATCACAAGCATATTGCTGAGCTGCCCCAGCTAGCAAGGCCACCCTGCTTTATGATTTCTACTTGCATGGGAAGGACCCTAGGAAACCTTCGAGCCACATGACGGAGGCAGTGACCTTTGAGGATGTGGCTGTAAACTTCACCAGGGAGGAATGGGCTTTGCTGAATCCATTGCAAAAGAAGCTCTACAGAGATGTGAAAGTCTGGGGTGGCCAGATAGCTCAGTGGACAAAAGTGCCTGCTTAGGCAAGTGCAAGGTCCCAAGTTGGATCCCCAGTACCGCATGCCATGCAGCCCCAAAACTAGGCATGGTGGTGCATGCCTATAATCCCAGTGCTGAGGAGGCTGAGACAGGAGTATCAGTATGAATCCAAGCTGTATAGGGAGACCCTGTACCAATCAAAATAAAAAATAAAAATAAAAAAACACGAAGAAGAACCCACTGGGAGAGCTCAGTGAAAGCTATACTAGGAAGCTCAAATTTAAAATGGGCCTGAATGGGCTGGGGAGATAGTTCTGAAGTCTAAGTGCCTGTCTGGCAAGCGCAAAGATGTGAGTTTGATCCCTGGTACTGAATGCTGGCCTGGCCCCAGAACCTGGGCACATCATGTAGGCCACCAAAAGCAGGCATGGTGGCGCACACATGTAATCCCAATGCCAGGGAGGCCAAGATGAGAGGATCATCACATGTCCAAGCTGCATAAAGATAATGTATGAAAGAAAGAAGGAGGCCGGGGAGATGGTTCAGTGGAATAAGCACTTCCCTGGCAAGCGCAAAGGCCTGAGTTCAATCCCCGGTGCTGAAAAAAAAAAGAAAAAAGAAAGAAATTTTTGGGGCTGGAGAGATGGCTCAGTGATCTAAAGCACCTATTTGGAACAAGCTTGGAAAAGCACAGGGACCACGGTTCGATCCCCCAGCACCACATGCCAGCCAGCCCTGCCCCCTGGTGGGCTGAGCTGGCCACACACACACACACACACACACACACACAATAAATAAATGTTTAAAAAAATTAAAAAAAAAAAAAAGAAGGAAAGAAAGAACGAACATCTGGATGGACAGATGAGCCGGGGAGATGGCTCAGTAGAATAAGCACTTGCCTGGGAAGTACAAGGTCCCGCGTTCAATCCCCAGAACCGCACAAAAAAAAAAAACAGAAGAAAGAAAGAGGAGCCTTTAGGCTTTAGCCAGGCATGGTGGTACACACCTGCAATCCCAGCACTGGGGAGGCTGAGGCAGGAGGGTCGTTGCAAGTTCAAGACCAGACCAGCTTGTTCTTAGGCTCTACAAAGTGAGCCTAAGGCAGCCTGAACTTCATAGCTGTCTCAAAGAGACAAAAACAAACAAAAAAATAATAATAATATAAAATTGGCCCGAATACTCTGGTTTCTCTTCAAATCCCATAAATCTTTCAATTTTTACTAAAATAGGCTTACCCCACAATAAATGTAATCATTATGTCCTGCAAAAATGTACTAATAAAGTTTTTTTCAAAATTAAGAGTCAGCTATGGTGGCATAGCCTGTAATCCCAGCACTTGGAAGGCTCAGGTAGGAGGATCATAAGTTGGAGGCCAGGATGGGTCACCTAGTGAGTTTAAGGCCACCCTGGAATACATAGTGAGATCTTGTCTCAAACAAAAAAAATAAATAAAAATTTTCAAAAATTAAAAAATAAGAACTGGGGATACAGCTCAGCATCACAGTACCTACTAGGAAAACACACAGACCTGAATTTGATTCTTGGTACCAAAAAATAAAAATAAATAAATAAATAAATTTTAAAAATAAAATGTGCTTGAAGAAATAGGGACAAAAAAGGAAAAACAAAGAAGTATACATCCACTTGAGCCAGGAAAGAGGGTGTAGGGCAGGATAATAGGTAAAGATTTTGTATACCATATTAAGGAGCCTTGACTTTACTCTGTAAGTAAAGAGGAGCCAAATAAACTTTTTATGCAAAGGAGTGACATATCTATGTATGAGACTCTTATACTATGTATACAATAAGAAGAGGAAGAGACTGAAGAGGCACACATAACACTCTGAGGAAAAAAATGAAGATTACTCTTAGGAAATGGCAAAGAAAAGATTACAAGTGATAACTGAGAGGGCCACCTTATAAAAATTAGATAATCCATGATCTGAAGCATGAGAAACAGATAAGTCACTTCTATGTATGCCTTCTCACTTAGGAAAAGTAAGAGAAGGAGCAAGTCTACATGGCTACGGGAGTTGGTAAATCGTATCCGAGACACGGAGTAAGTTCTGGGTGCCTGCCCAACACTCATGTGGAATGCAAGCTGTATGACCATTTTGAAACTCCAGGACTGGGGAGATAGCTTGGTGGACTAAGCGCCTGCCTGGCAAGCATAAGGTCCCAAATTTGATCCCCAATGCTGCATGCCTTGCCAGCCCTGATACTAGACGTAGTGGTGCACACCTGTAATTCCAGCACTTGGGGGGTTGAAACAGGGGGATCACTGTGAGTTCACTATCAGCCTGGGAGGCTACAAAAGTGAGCACAGGGCCAACCCAAACTGCTTAGTGAGACCCTGTATCTCCATAAATATATTAAAAAGAAAAACGGAACTCTAGGCCTTTCCCCTTCAGACTTGCTGCTTGGATTTCTATACTCACGAAGAAACTAGACAATGACGAAAGCAAAACTGGCCACAAGATCACCAAGGTAACCTGAGTAATGCAGAGTAGAAGTGAACCCAGTAGTTCTGCTTGTGAGTCTCCTTGCAATTTGGCACATGGCAGCTAGACAGAGCAGCCCCAGGTGCCATAGGAGACCAAACCAGCAGGCCAGAAATAGGTAGTTCACATAAACTCTGGTTAAATGAGTCATAAATGCCAAAACTATACCATATGGGGAGAACCACAGGGAATCTGTCCTCACCTGAAGATCACACATTTGAGAAACATGAAAGAGAACCAAATATATCTTCTCTTTGCCCTAGTGTTATTCTTTCTCACACAAGATGTGTTTGTCCTTTGAAAGAGCGTCTGTTAAAGTCATTTGGGCATTTCCTTTAGATGTGTGCTTCCTTTTCTCACCATGATCCTTGGCTTTCATACACTTGTTCCTCATCTCCTGCTGCTGCTGTACATAGGCCTTCCAACTCTGAAACACCAGGCTGTACAAGTAGTATCTGAGGAGCCAAAAAAGCAAATGGCACTTTTTTTTTTTTAAACATTTATTTATTTTGTGTGTGTGTGTGTGTGTGTGTGTGTGGCCAGCTCAGCCCACCAGGGGGCGGGACTGGCTGGCGTGTGGTGCTGGGGGATTGAACCGGGGTCCCTGTACTTTTGCCAAGCTTGTTCCAAGTAGGTGCTTTAGGCCACTGAGCCATCCCGGCAGCCCCTGGCACTTCTTTAAGACAACTCAACAAGGCACCTCCTAATCCAATATACGCAGTTTGTTCTTTATTTTATTTATTTATTTTGGTGCGGGCTTTAACTTGTTTTATTTATTTTGTGTGTGTGTGGCCGGTTCAGCCCACCAGGGGGCGGGGCTGGCTGGCATGTGGTGCTGGGGGATTGAACCGCGGTCCCTGTGCTTTGCTTAAGCTTAGCTTGTTCTAAGTAGGTGCTTTAGACCACTGAGCCATCTCACCAGCCCCCGCAGTTTGTTCTTTACTCTCAAGAACCTAACACAGAAGCTTCTCACACAAAAAGCCCTACCGGCACCTAAGCTAAAATTTCTTTTCCTACCATCACTGTGAAGCTTAGTCTCTCTGAAAAAGAATCATCCTTCATACCTTAAAGTGTCAGACTCTTTTAAAAACTACCTTGACTTTCAGTACCCACAGGCTGTAACACTTAGAAGGAGACTTATTTCTTAACCACTCAAGGCATCCATGCTACATAAAACATGACTTTTCCTTTGCCATGAATAGCATCCAGTGGCACCTTTTCCTTTTTATTCTCCTTGATACAGATACCATGTACGTTTTTTTAGGCAGGGTCTCGCTATGCAGTTCAGACTGGCTTTGAGCTCACTTTGTAGCCCAGGCTGGTCTTGAACTCACAATGATCCTCCTTCCCGAGTGCTGGGATTATAGGTGTCAACCACCACGCCTGGCTCCATGTACAAGTCAGTGTATCTATTTTTAACCTGCAATAGTCAAAAATCAGAATTCCTGCCTCAAAAAACCTAAACTGACATCATAAAAAGCATATATACATTTTATTTTTTTAAAAGATCTAGCCTTTACATAATCCCAACACTCAGGGAAGCTGAGGCAGGAGGACCATAGAGCCCAGGCTGGGCAACTTAAGTGATTTAGAAAGGCTCTATCTCAAAATAAAGAATTTTAAAAATAGCTGGGGATGTAGAACAGTAACAAACACCTTGGAGTTCAAAAAGTCCTGCTACCAAATATCATATATTTGCTATAACTTCCAATTTTGTTTGTTTTGCTGTTTTTTATACAAGTCCCCTCTAGGTAGTTGGGGCTGGCCTTGAACTCTTAGTAATCCTAGTGCTTCAGTAAGTGGTAGGATTACAGGCCTGTGTCACCATGCCCAAGTAATTCCCAATTTTTTTTTTACCTCTTTTCTATTCCTATGGATAAGAATGTCAAGGATTATGAGTTCATTTGTTCTCTGTTTCAATTTAACACAAACCTGATGACTCACTCTACTAATCAGCCAAACTCCCAACCTCTATATTTTACTGTTCCACATTGCGTATATATTTTCTCCAAAAAATCAATATAAATTAGAACTTATTCTTTTAATAATAAGTTATAAAAAGTTATTCCCAGGCAAGCATGGTGGCCCATCCCTATAATTCCACCACTCTGGGAGGCTGAGGCAGGAGGATCACCTTGAGTTAGAGGCCAGCCTCCACTCCACGATGAGTTCAAGACCAACCAGAATGACACAGTGAGACTGTGTCTCAAAAAACAAAGCACAGGGTTGAGGAGATAGCTCAGCAGTCAAAGCGCCTGCCTGGCAAGTATAAGGACCCACATTCAATCCTGGTACTACATGCTGTTCCAGCCCCACACCAAGCAGGATACCAAACTGAGTGTGGTGGCACACACCTGTAATCCCAAGGGCTGGGGAAGATGAGAAAAGAAGATCACTACAAGTGTGAGCTGCACAGGGATACCCCCTACCAAATAAATAAATAAAAAAGATTTTAAAAAATAAGTAACCACTACTAAGCCAACAATATACAATGTATTAATTATTGTAACAGTCCTACTAACCTGTTGTGAAATTGTTTCATTGCTATTTTATCTTTTTTTTCATTAAATGTAAAATAAATAAATAAATAGAAGAAATTAAAAAAAAAGAAAGAAAGCACAGTCTCAGAATTAGAAATTACACAGAAGTGGGCAGGGGAGACAGCTCGGTGGTTTAAGCGCCTGCCTGGCAACAAGGTCCCAAGTTGGATCCCTAGTACCAATGCTGTGCTGGCCCCACAACCCTAGGAATGCCATGCTGGCCAAAAACTGGGCATGGCTGTACACACGTGTAATCCTAGTACTGAGGAGGCTGAGATAGGAGGATCATTATAAGTCTAAGCTATGTAGCTAGACACTACCAAATAAGTAAATAATGCTTAAAAAAAAAAAAAAAAAGAAATTTCATAGAAATGAGAATCAGTAAGAAAAGTACCATTTAAAACATTAGCATGACCAGGGCCGGGGAGACGGCTCAGTAGAATAAGCATGCACCTGGTAAGCACAGGGGCTGAGTTCAATCCCTGGTTCCGGAAAAAAAAAAAAAAAATTAGCATGACCAATACCTAACAGTTGTCTAAATTACAGGGGTACAGGTACATGTCTTAGTTTAATTAGGACTTGGAACTTGTTTACTCTAAAAAGGATTTGAAAAAAAACCCAAAGTGAAAAAAAAAAAAAAAAAAAAAACCAAAGTGATATAAAACTTTGCTTCATCTGATCAAAAATACATCAAATATACCACTAATGTGAGCTGGGCGTGGTGGTGCACACTTATAACCCTCCACTTGAGAAGCTGAGGCAGGAGAACCACTGTTTGAATCCAGCCCTAAACTACACAATGAGTTCAAGGCCAGCCTGAACTATATAGTGAAACTCTGACTTAAAAAAAAAAAAAAAGAATTTTAATATGAGACTGTATAAAATCTGTGATTGAAAAATGTGCAAAACTAGGGGCTGGCCAGATAGCTCAGTGGATTAAAGCACCTGCTTAAGGCAGACGCAGGGACCAGGGTTCGATCCTTGGCATGCTGTGCCAGCCCGCCCCTGGGGCAGGCTGAGAAGTCAATTGAGACTGGGCGTGGTAGCACATGCCTGTGATCACAGTGTTTGGGAGGCTGAAAACAGGAGGAGCACTATGAGTCCAATCTGTGTAGTGAGACCCTGTAGACCCTGTACTAAATACAAAAACCAAAAGTGCAAAACTGAAGGAATGTGGCAAAATCTGACCTGTAGTGACAGTCGGCTCGAACACAAAGTTTCCATTCTCGATGAGAAACCCACCATTCTTCTTTCCAGCCTTCAAAGGTCTTCCGCAGTATTCTCTGCTCATAATAAAACCTAAAGTAACACAATGAAACAGAGCTAAATATGAGGAGGTTGGAGCTGACACCTATTTCCAAATCAGTTTCACATTGTCCTTGTCAATGAAAAGTGAACTCCAAAATATCAGGAGCTGAGGAAGGAGAATTCCAAATTCAAATTTAGCCAGAGGCAACTTTGGTGACTTGCAAGACCCCATCTTACACTGGAATAAAAGTATAAAATGGGGGTGCTGGGGAGATAGCTCAGTAGAATAAATGCTTGCCTTGCAAGTGCAGGGTCCTGAGCTCGATCCCTGGTACCACCAAAAAAAAAAGTGTAAAAAGGAGTACAGGGGGCCGGGAATACAGCTCAACACCTGCCTGACGAATACAAAGTCCTGAGTTTAATTTCCAGTAAAAAAAAAAAAAAAAAAAAAAAAAGACTAAAAATAAAGGGAGTGGAGATATAGCTCAATACAAAGGCCCTGGGTTCAATCTAAAGTATTGAAAAACAGGCAAACCAATAAACAAAAACTTTAGAACTACTTAAATTAGAAATGAGGCTGAAAAAATGTATGCTATAGGGGCTGGTGAGATGGCTCAGTGGTCTAAAGCACCTATTGGAATAGGCTTGGCAAAGCACAGGGACCGTGGTTCAATCCCCCAGCACCACATGCCAGCCAGCTCCACCCCCTGGTGGGCTGAGCTGGCCACACACACACACACACACATAAATAAATGTATGCTATAGTTTGTTGTTGTTTTGTTTTCAGGTCTTTTTGAGACACATTTTGTTCTACAGTTCAAGGTTGGCTTTGAACTCACTTTGTAGCCCAGGCTAGCCTCAAACCTAGAGATCCTCCTGCCTCAGCCTCTCGCTGGGAATGTAGGCCTGTGCCACCATGACTGGCTTATGCCATAGATTTTACCAATTAAAAATGCTCTAGTGAGGGCCAGGGAGATAGCTCAGTAGAATAAATGCCTGCCTGGCAGGCACAAGGGCCTGAGTTCAATCCCTGGGTCCGAGAAAGAAAAAAAAAAAAAAAAAGGCTCTATTACTGGGGCCGGCCAGATAGCTCAGTAGATTAAAGTGCTTGCTTAGCAGACACAAGGTCTGGGCTCTATCCCTGGTGTGTCATGCTGGCCCCACCCTCAGGGTGTGATGAGATTGATTGAGCCTGGGCTTGATGCCACCCGCCTGTAATCCCAGCACTTGGGAAGGTGAAAAACAGGAAGATCACTACAAATCCAATCTGTGTAGTGAGACTCCATACTAAATACATTAAAAAAAAATGCTGCATTACTTTCCAAGTATCATAATTGAACTAATAATTGTTGTTTTGGGGCTGGGGAGATGGCTCAGTGGAATAAGTGCTTCCCTGGCAAGCGCAAGGGCCTGAGTTCAATCCCCGGTTCCGCCAAAATAAATAAATAAATAAATAAATATTGTTGTTTTTCAATGTTAATTCTTTAGGGCCAGGGTGATAGCTTAGTAGAATAAGCGCTTGCCTTGCAAGCACAAAGTCCTGAGTTCAATCCCCAGTACAGCAAAAAAAAAAAAAAAAAAGTTAATTCATCAAACTAAAAAATATATTTCATTGTTAAAAAGTAATAGCTGTTTGTAATTTATTTAAGAAGAGATCAAAGTTACAAGATAAGCAAATGTCAAGATCACAAATATTACTTTTTTTTTTTTTTTTTTTTGCAGAACTGGGGATTGAACTCAGGCCATTGCGCTTGGCAAGGAAGTGCTTATTCTACTGAGCCATCTCCCCAGCCCCAACAAATATTACTTTAACTAAAATCCAACCAGGGGAATTATAACAGCAGCAAAAAACAGGTAAGACAAAATGAAGAATGGAAAAAAGTTATGAGAGAAAACAGAAAGCAGTGCCAGTGTTTGTTCATAGCTGTCTTTTAGGGGCCAGGGAGATGGCTCAGTGGAATAAGTGCTTCCCTGGCAAGTGCAAGGGCCTGAGTTCAATCCCCCGCTCCGCCCCCCCCCCCCAAACAAATTAAGGGCTGGGGTGATGGCTCAGTAGGATAAGCACTTCCCTGCAAGCACAAGGGTCTGAGTTCAATCCCCAGTTCCGGGGGGGGGGGGGGATGTATTTGGTACAGGGTCTCACTATGCAGCTTAGCCTGCCAGCCTGGAAGGAGCTCCAGGATACCAAGCTATTATCAGTTGCTTTCTCTGAGATACAGATTATAGAAGACCAGTGTCTCCTAAATTGTATGTTCCTCTAATGTTTGTAAAGTTTTTAACACCATATTTGTTTCTAATTTTATTTATTTATTTTTTGGTATTTAGTGCAGGGTCTTCAGGGTCTACAGGGTCTCACTACACAGATTGGACTCATAGTGATTCTCCGGTTTTCAGCTTCCCAGGTGCTGGGATTACAGGCGCGCCACCACACCCAGTCTCAATCACCCTCTCAGCATGCCCTGGGGACAGGACCGGCACAGCAGGCAGGGGATCGAACCTTGGACCCTTGCCCCTTGCATCTGCCTAAGCAGGCACTTTAATACACTGAGCTACCTGGCCGGCCCTCTAATTTTAAATTTTGTAATAGAAAAGAACCATATGCACATGGTAACATGCATAAATCTACCTTCAACTCTCAAAATTCCACTAAAATAACAGCTAATACATTTAAAAAGATATACACCCACAAAGACAGAGTAAGAGAGAATGACAGACAAAAGATGTTAACCACGTTTAGGTAATGAAAAGCAATTAGGTGAGTGGCAACAGATACTAGAAACGGTAGAGAACTAAGCTTCCTGTGGGGAAAGTAAAAAGAAAAAAAACCTCAAGATGTGGTAGGATATGAAACATTAGCAACAGGGGTCCTCGGTGGAGATGAAGACACAGGATTGTGTCAGAGGTGGCTAGGGCCCCGATTTCCTCATTCATCCAGGCAGCAACTGAACTTTCTGGAAAAGCTGAAACCGTGGGGGCACTGGACTCTAGATGACCAAGCAGAGCTTTGGAGATGGCCCTAAACTGAGTGCTGGCATTCTTGACAGTGAGACTCTGCTCCCTGCCTCTGCTTACCCCAAACACATCCCACATCAGTTCTTCAAACTCGAAGGGAAACTGATCAGCTGAAGGAAAAGGCTTTCAGTGATGTGGGTGGTTGGAGTTCCTCAGCAAAATTCTGGTATCTGACTAAAAAAAAAAAAAAACTCCAGCTAAACCTTTAAAAATGAGCTTTTTAGTGCTTCTTAATTGTGAAGAGACAACATAGAATCTCTTGACCTTTGAGGGAAAGCTCTAAGGTGAGAAAGTGAGCAAGAACATAAAAATGAAGCCTGGAAGAATTAGACAATGTGAGCAAACAAAAATCCTAAAATCAAACAAACTGACTGTTATCTTTAAGAGATTATATCCTAGGACTCTATTTTTCAAAATAAATAAATAAATAAATATAAATAAAAATAAAAAGTCTGATTCAAAAAAAAGGAACAGTCAGAACAACAAAGAGGTCTTGGAAATTAAAACAGCAGAAATTCCTTTAGAATTCAAGACAACCAGGTGTGATAGAGCATTCCTGTAATTCCAGCACTCAGAAAGCTGAGGCAGGAGGACCACCATGAGTTTGAGGCCAGCCTAGGTTACATAAGCAAGTTCAAGGCCAGCCTAATACAGCAAGACCCTGTATTAAAAAGATAAAGTAAAAAGCTCATTGGCCTTATAGGACATAGGAAGGACTATGACTATTTTCAGCAGAGAGCCACTGGAAGTTTGAGCAGATGTGATTTATTAGATGATCTACAAACAAGAGACTAGACTGAGTAGAGACAAGGCCAGAAGCAGACTGCGGGAGAGGTTACTGGGTCATTCAGGAACAGAAATGATGACTACTCGGACTAAGGAGCAGCAAGAGGAAGTAATGGAGATAGGCTGCGTTGTGAATACATTCCGAAGGTTGCATCAACATGATTTGAACATCAAGTTAGAAGAGAACAAGAAGCGCCAAGGGCGACTTCCAAGTTTTTGACTTGAGCATCCTGGAAGGATGGGAGTTGGTTTGCACTAACTGAGGTGGGAAGATACATGTGAAAGATCAAGATTTGAGGTTTAAGGGGCCAGGGAGATGGCTCAGTAAAATAAGCACTTGCCTGGCAAGTGCAAAGGCCTGGGTTCAATCTCCAGTTCTGAAAAAAAAGAATTCATTAAGCTCAAGACAGAAGTCTGATGGGGCTGGTGACATGGCTCAGTGGTCTAAAGCACCTACTTAGAACAAGCTAAGCTAAGCAAAGCACAGGGACTGCGGTTCAATCCCCCAGTACCACATGCCAGCCAGGCCCGCCCCCTGGTGGGCTGAGCTTGGCCACACACACACAAAATAAATAAATATATAAATAAGTAAAATACATTTAAAAAAAAAGAATTATTAAAATAAAAAAAAATTTTTTTTAAAAAAGACAGAAGTCTGGACTGATCTATGCATTTGGGATCCACCTGGGGATTGGATGATATTACTATGGTTGTGAGGGACATAGAGAAGCAGTGCAGGGGCTAGGGGTTGGGATATTTCAACAGAGAAGAAGCCAAAAAGTAGGGTTGGAAAAAGCAGTCAAGCAGAAGAAAAATGCAAGGTGATAGAAATTGGGACAATTCTTTTTCCCTTTAGTATTGAAGGAACTAAACTGAATTTAAGCCAGGGCTATATCCCCTCTATTTTCATTTTGAGACAGCGGTCACTCATTTATTTGCTCAGACTGACCTCAAACCTGTGACACTCTTGCATCAGCCTTCCAAGTGGCTGGGATTACAGGTGTGAACCACTGTGTCTAGAAGAAAGGGTTTATTGAGAACAGGAATCACAGCCCTGGGGACAGGACCGGCACAGCAGGCAGGGGATCGAACCTTGGACCCTTGCCCCTTGCAACTGAAGTCTGGGTAGCCAGCTAATGGAAGGTGGTGGGCCTTTTAAGAACTGAAGCGTAGTAGAATGAAGTTAGGTCACTGAAGGCATGCCTTTGAAAGAGACATGGGAACTCTGGCCCTTCCTCTTTCTCTCACAACCT